TTATTATAAAATACATATATAATAAATAGTTTACATAAAATATTTATACTATATTTTACTTAATTTGGATGTTGGTTAAATAAGAAGATTTTATATCAAAATACAATAAATAATAATGCTGTACATGTTTTTAAGTAAGTGCGATTAAATCAAAATCAATAAGTTACATTGATAAAGTATTCACAATATAGAGCATAAAAATCGTATAAAAATCATAGTAATTATTAATATATTGAAACACAATATATATACAAAATTTTTAATTATACTTTGAAAAGGGAATATACGGAAAGTACAATATGAGCTTTGTTTTTCTCCAAATGTTAAAATGATAATTATTTAAAAAAGAAATTTCATATTATTCATGTTATATTTTTATTTAAATATAATAATCACGAGAACTATATTTCTTTTATTTATATTTTATATTAATATTATTATTTATTATATTTCTAAATATAACAGTGAACATTAAAAATATACATTATATATAATATAAAATAGGATCTCAATTAATATACATAATAATGATCTGAATTCTAATATTCAAATTTCCTTATTACTTAAGACAGTTGAAAATGAATGGCTCTAGTTTTATTAATTTTTATAGTATGAATTTGTATTTATATAAGACTTAATATATCTGTTCAACATTTCATTTGATGATATATTTAGCCTTTGTAATTACATCCTTTTTCATTAAAAACATAAAGATAAAATTAATTCACACTGTTTTATATATATTATCTATATATTATAAAAATATTGTATAATTGATCTACTATTGCATATAAGTACATTCAAAAATACATAACTTCATTATAAGGCCCAATAATAAAGGTATATTATAACACATATTTAAATATATATAATGTTAGTGGAACTGTACAATTAAATTTATAATTTTTTAAATATTTCCTTCAAGAAAATTATTTTTTATATATAAAGCTAATTATGGTACAAGAATTCTTTGGCATTATATTATGAATAATAAATATTTTTTAATTTTGTATAATATTTATATTTTTTTATTGGGAATTCATTATAATTTACTTACACTTTTCACTAGATTTTTTGTGATTTTGAATAATTTTATAACTTTATATATTATTATATAATATAACATGTATTAAAAATATAAACTTGTATTTATTTTATGATACGGCCTATATTATATTCTTTATTTTTTTCTACATAATAGGCGTACACTATTATTAGTATTTAGTATAATAAAAAATATACAGAAGTGTATGATATACACATTTTTGTTATCTCATAATATATATGAAAAATTACATATAGAACTATATTTTATATATTCCATAAATAATTATAGGAACTAAAAAAGTATATATTAAAGAATATTTTTATTATACCTATATTTATGAATATTTAGGATAGCTCAGTGTATAATACGTCCACTACGACATAGAGTAACATTAATAAAAATGACAGTGTGTTATTGAAACATATACATATACATATTACTATATAGGTCGTACATATATTAATTTGAAATATTTATAATATCTATAATGAACTGTTGATAATTTACAATATATTATGTTTTATAATCCATAATAATATGTTCTGCAGTAAGATATAATATATTAAAAATTCAATTTCTTTTGTTCTCTTGTTTGAACGAATATGATATTTTATATATATTAATTAATATTTCTACGATAAGGACAAAATATAAGTACTATATTTTTTCGTGCATTACATTAAAACGATATACATTATTTAATATATATATTTTGATAATTTTATATTCAAAAAATCATTATGATGAAGCATCTATACTTTATTAATGGATACTTTTCCAAACGAACATTTCTAATGTTATATATATTAATAGCTTTAAATGTATTTATACTTTTTATTAAAATATCATATATGACTTCATGAATTATAATAATATAATTTAAATTCTTCATTCTCTGTGTTAATTTTATTAATGTAAAATTTATTTTCCATTAATCCTTGCCCTGTTATATCATATAAAATATTTCTTATTGAATTAATTTTTATTACGTATTTATGTATCCACGCTCCCATTGGTGTAATCTATTTAACAATTTGTATGTATGCATATGTTATATAAATATTATATTTAATTCGGGGTTATTTTTCCAATTAGGATAAATTAACTATTGTATAATATTATATACAAATATATAAATAATATTTTTTATTACCGTACACAAAAAAATGCAAATTAGTAAAAATGCTATAGATAAAAATGTAATAAGAAAAGTTTTAAACGATGAAAATGATAAGTGTTTAACTGTTGTTGGTATATCAGTCTCTTTTATCTGGATATGCGGAATGGAAATATAATGTGAAAAAGTTAATTCTGTTGATTCATCTTTTAATTTACATTTTAAATCCGGTAGCCTGTTAGTTTTGTGGTCAGGATAAAATTTTTTAAATTCATCGCAAAATGTATTTTTTTTATCATCTGTGCAAATATCATATATTTCCTTATATTTATAAACTGATTTTTGAATATGATTCATATAACTCTTATCACAAAAAATTCCACTATTCCTAAGACTACTTATAATTTGACTATGATCTATTGAATAATCATACATTACCTTCATGCTTATGAAATCATTTTTTTTAATATCCTTTAAAAATTTACATTTACAGTTATGAGATGAACCAATTTTAGCTTGTTCTTCTTGTAATTTTTTAAAAATATTATTAAACTCATCATCATTATTTATCTTATGAACTATCATATCCCCAATCCAATAGTAAAGTCGATCGCACCGTTCTTCACATTCAGACCTCTCTAATGTACCATAGGATAATTTACAAAATGAGTTCAAAATTTTTTTTATTTCATCCTTAATATGCACAAGACGTTCTAAATTAGATTTTACACTTTCGTATTTATCTTCATGGGCACAGTAATCATTTGGATCCTTCTCTAGCTTTAGATAATAGGCTTTAGATGGTAATACATTTAAATGTTCTACCTTAGGAATATTAGGAAAAAAATAATGTATATATGAATTCAATTTTTAAATATAATAATATAGTTTTTAAAATAAATTATTTAATTTAATATATTTTTAAATGTAAACATATTTATGATAGGATTAAATAATGACATACATCTAAAATTTGTGCCATTTCTTTATATTAATTAATGAGTAGGTTAAATTTTTACGTAACCAAAAAAAAAAAAAAAAAAAAATACATAAACAATAAATTTTAATTCATATAAAAAGTTATTTGTTTAAAACCAACATATTCTATTTATTTTAATTAATTATTTGCATAAATATATTTATTTTATGATGTTCAGTAAGCATAGATAGGAAGAAATATTATATTTTACTAATATACAGTATAACTAAAATGAATATAACAAAGAATTTAAAATTATTAAATATATACATATTTAACCCTGTGTACTTCCGGTGTATGTAATGTTAGAAGAGTACCTAATGCTTATGTATTTATAACAAAAAATACATAGGCAATAATTTATGTCTTAACTTATATATTTTTTATTCGTAGATAAACGAATAACCTTCTGATGTTGTACATTATATAGATTATGCACAACAATTAATGAACTATGAAAAAAATTATTAACATAATTTAAATAAAATTTTTAGAAAATTGTGTTCATTTAAAAACCTTAAAATTTTAATTTTACCTTAAAAAAAATTTTAAGTATTGATAAGTATTATATTAAGTAAAAGATTATTTACAGTATGAATCATGTTTCTACAACGTATATGTAGATAATAGTTGATTATTTTAAGAGACATAACCATGTGAATATTAAAGATCAATTTTGTTCTTCTGATTGATGAAAATCATAAGTGCATAATCAATTTTTCTAAATAGCAAATTTAATTTTATATGTTTACCCTTCCGCATTTAGTTTTTATTTTTAATCTATTAAATATACATTAGATTATATTCTATCTAATATAAAAGTTTATTATATTGGCATTAAACATGTAAAGATGTAAAAATAATTCATTTTTATACTCAAAATGCATTAAAATTGAAGAAAATAAATGATTATACTTTTTTAATAAAAAATAATTTATCACTATAATTTTAATCTTATTGCTAAATTACCTTAAAATATTATACATAAAGCTTCATATATATTTTCAGTAATATTATAAAGTATACTTATTTTAATTATTTTTTATGTAACATAATCATAGCAAATCTTTTTATAGATTTTTTTTTAATAAGAATTACTATACGTAATATTTAATTAACTTTTATTTTTAACTTTTCATGTTTAGTTATATGTTTTTGTGTACACTTTTTACTTTTTTATTTTTTTTTTGAATTTGTATTATCACTTCAGATTTCTTATAATTTATGTATTTAAAAACATTGAAATTGTATTGATAATATTTTTTCATATGTGTATTTTATAACAATGAGCATGTGAGAATTTTTTTCCTACATATTAGTCCTTATAAGAATTAGATTAATTATAATATTTAATTACATATATTTATTTTAATATTATATCTATGTTTGAAGAAATTTAGTATTGATATATGAAAAAATATTATATTATTCAATTATATACAGAGAAATGACCTATTTCATACTCATTTAATGTAATAATTTTGAATCAATTTATAAATTAAATAAAAATATATGTTTTTATTTTATTATTCATTTCCATATAAATGCATCCATAGAACTACTTGACGAAGTCTTATAAAAACATTCAGGTTTTAGGGTTCTAAGTTTATGGTTAAGGGTTTAGTGTTCATTTTTCAGGACCCAGTCTTTAGGTTTCCTTGTTTAGATATTAATGTTTATGTTCATTGTTTAGTATGGGGGAATAAGTTTTCCTGGTTAAATGTTTAGTATTTAGGGTTAAGGTTTATGTTTTACTTTTAGTGTTCAGCTTTTATGTTTATGGTCTACGTCACATGTTTCAGTGTCTATGTTTAGGTTTTAGTGTTTTTGTATGTGTGTTATTAGTACTTTTTTTTTATTGTTTTGAGTTTATTTTTTAGTTTTTATGTTTTATGCATTAGTTTTAGGCCTTTTTGTGGAAGTTTTAGGGTTTATTTCTTTGGGGTTAGCGTCTAGGATTACAGATTTTATTTGTTTTGTCTTATGTGTTTATGTTGGAGGGTTGAACGTATTGGATTTATCATTCAGTTTATTCGTTTTCGGCTTAAGTTTTCAGTGTTTAGTTTTGATTTTTCATGGTTCAGGTCTCAGTGTTTAGGTTTCATGAAATTGGGTATATTTTTTTACGTTTATGTATAAGTTTTTTATGTTTTTCTATACGTTTTTATTTTACTATGTATGTTTATGTCAATTTTATAAAACTTCTAATTCAAATTTTATTTATACGCTTCTTGCTGTATTATATTTTTTCATGAATATGTATATATTTTGCATTTTAATTTTTTTTTTTTTGTATACTTTTAATTTCATATTATATTATTTTATATATTAATAATTGTTCATTATTATTATATACCTAGGGGTTATATATGCGTGAAAATTGTATGAACAATCAAATTTACATACGTTATTACACTGTATATGAATTTTATTATATAGGTAAAAAATGAATTTATTTTATTTCTTTAATTACATTTAATTTTGGATTTGTGAGGTATTGTATGTATTTTTAATTAACGAATGAAGGAATTCAAATATTTTTATGCTTATATATATATATATATATATTCTATTATAGTTTTTTTTCATTTTTTATTTATTTTTTATTTTTATAGTAATTTACCTATATTTATGAATTTATTTCGAATGTTCATATTTTAGTAATAACTATGCATTATTTCAAATAACTGTACCATAAATTTTTTTTAGTTAGGTTATAATATATTCTCATTCTATTGTATTTTTTTTAAAAAAAATATGTAGCGTAGACTTTATGATATATTTCGTTGTGCTCATTAAATATAGAGATAATTTTTTTTTCTAATAATATATCATT